CTGGCCTCCTGGAGCGGTCCAGCCGCCGGCCTCCGGCCTGGACCCAGAACGGAACGGCCCAGTCCGCAGACAGGGGAGCCGCTGTGCAGAGCAGGGCTTCTGGCGTTTTGAAAGCTGTGCAATGTGAAAGAAAGATATAAAGAAGCACAGTTTGGCTGTTTTTGGCTGGTTTTGCGTGCAACCCGGGGCGTGTTAGCACTGCAAAGGGCGCCTGGAAAAGGGTTTGCAGTTCCTCCTAATTCTCAGAATTTTTTTTTTTTTTTTTTTTTTTGGCAGAGGCTTGCTCTGTCGCCCGGGCTGGAGTGCAATGGCGCGATCTTGGCTCACTGCAACCTCTGCCTCCCGGGTTCAAGTGATCCTCCTGCCTCAGCCTCCTGAGTAGCTGGGATTACAGGCGCCTGCAACCACGCCCGGCTAATTTTTTTGTACTTTTAGTAGAGACGGGGTTTCACCATGTTGGCCAGGCTGGTCTCGAACTCCTGACCTCAGGTGATCCGCTCACATTGGCCTCCCAAGTCCTGGGATTACAGGCATGAACCATCGCGCCTGGCCAGTTCTCAGAATTCTGACACTGGGGCCGGAGACTAGAAGAAACGTCCAGCGCAGGGCGAGTGCCAGGAGGCCCTGATACGGGCTGCATCCTTGGAAATCAGTGCAGCTCCTCCCCTGACAGACGGGTCACGGAGGCTGGCAGGCCTTGAGGATGGGGTCTGGGCTGGCCCCCGGGCCAGTGGCGGCTTGTGCGCAAGCGTGAGGCGGGCTGCACGCGAATGCGGGACCCTGGTCTCCCAGTGTTGACCTGCAGGGGTAGCACCAGTCCACGCCCGGCCTTCTGCATGAAAGGAGCTGTCAACTCCACCTGGGACAACAGGCCTGGATCCATGCTGTCCGGGGTCGACTGGGATGTGGGGTCACCCTGCTGGCCAGAGCCCTCACCAGGATCTGGCTAGAGAGCAGAGGGAAGGGGGCAGTTAAACCATCCTTAGAGCTGGACCTGGCTTCCAGGTGGGTTTCTGTGACTGGCGATCAAGAATCTTGGTGTGATGGATGTAGGTACACGCAGTTGACACCCAGAGTGACCTGCAGTCTTCTGCAATGTTGCTGGATATAGGAATCAGCTTTCAAGATGCAGAGGTGGGCTTGCTTCAACATCTTGGAAGTTTGAACTAATATTGTCATTGGGCTCTCTAGAGGGAAAGAATTTGGAAGATCTGCACTTTTTAACACCCTGAGAGGAGGTAAAGAGTTGTCTTGTTCCTTCATTCCAGTGGTTCTCAAATTGGGCATACATTAGGATCACCTGGAAGGCTGATTCAAACAGGCTGCTGTAGGCCCAGCCACTTGGGAGGCTGAGGTGGGAGGATCACTTGAGGCCAGGAGTTCAAAATCAGCCAGGGCAACATAGCAAGACTCCATCTGAAAACAAAACAAACCACCACACCGGTTGCTGCCCCTCCCTCCCAGGGTGTTTGCCTTCCTAACGCGCTCCTGGGTGATGCTGATGCTGCTGACCTGGAGACCACTCCTCGAGAATGATTTTTTGTTTGTTTGTTTGAGATGGAGTCTCACTCTGTCACCCAGGCTGGAGTGCAGTGGCGTGATCTCAGCTCACTGCAAGCTCTGCCTCCTGGGTTCACATCATTCTCCTGCCTCAGCCCCCCGAGTAACTGGGACTACAGGCACCGCCACCGCACCCGGCTAATTTTTTGTATTTTTAATAGAGACGAGGTTTCACAGTGTTAGCCGGGATAGTCTCGATCTCCTGACCTCGTGATCTGCCTGCCTTGGCCTCCCAAAGTGCTGGGATTACAGGCGTGAGTCACCGCGCCCGGCCAAGAATGATTTTTTGTAAGAAGAAAAAGAACAGACATTTATTGAGCACTTAGTATGTGTGTGCTAAGCTTTACTTCTTTTTGATTTTCTGAGATACAATTCACATTCCATAACATGCACCCTT